CATGTGTGTGTGTGTGTGTGTGTGTGTGTGTGTGTGTGTATGCATGTATGTATATATGCGTTGGTTTTTTTTGTGTTTGTGCGTGTGTGTATGCGAACACAAACATGAACTTTCTCGCATACAACTCAATACCATACCAGCTTGCAGCATGCCCAATTCTCGATCTCTTATGGCATCCCGGTGCTGCATGTTCCCTTCGTTTTCGTGTCTATTATCAACTGACAACACACCCTGTTCAGTGGTTGCGCCTGTCTGTGTGTGTGCGTGCGTGTATTCTACTGCATTTGGGACTTCATGCAAAGTTTGTTCACGCCCGTTATCATGCACCATTAGGCCCTGAACACCCTGCAGATTATTCAGTCTCTCAGTCAGTTGTCGCACCAACTGCGTCTGTGGCAGACAGCCCTCATGGCCATCGCTCAACAGCACGAGATGTGCGTCTACAGGTGCTTGCGCGTCCTGCACCACAGGTGCGCCATTCGGTGCGTTATACTCACTCATACTCTGCAGAGTATTGCCCGGCACTTGTATCGTTGTGAGCTGTTGTAGCCTTGGGCTTGAACCTTCACTCACGTTGGATTCCTGTTTGGTTGTGTGTGTTGCAGAGTCAACCTGCATGGCGGGATTCTCTGTGTACCTTTCCCGTCCGACTACTTCCCCTGTTGATACTGAATGTCTGCGTGCGAGGACAACACCTTCTGGGCTTGATTCAGAGGCCACAGTAGCACTGGTATCAGTGCCGTTAATCTGTACACTAACCCTTGGTACGACTCCTACAGATCTCCGCCTCGTGCTCTGCAGATGACTTCCGCCACCATCTACCAATCCCACACCTAAAGTTTTGCTGCGGTTGATAGGCTCCTTCACCTCGCCACTCCCTTGCGACAGATACGTCTTAGCATCACTGTCATGTAATACTGAGGTTTCTCTTGCTTCCATGGTCTCACCCGATGGAAGCAGGTGTTTGCCACGCTCAGCTTTGCCTTCAGGAATACTACTTCCAATTGGTGCGCCTCCCGCCCCCAAAGATGCATCGGGCATCTGCGCACCACTACTCTTCTCAACGACCCTGATTTTAGTATCGGCTGGTCCCTCCTGTTGGATATCCTTGCCTAAATCCATTGACTTCCTCTCATTTTCATCGTTGTTATGTTCTGTGCTCTGACTATATTCCGCCTCCTGTGAAGGTGGACTCTTAGGCGTCGCGGTGGCGGTAACTTTGAATCGAGAAACTCTTTTGGGTTTTGTTACAATAGGAGAAGTTACCTCCATCTTCTCTGAAATGGTATTGAGATCTGAGCTGCTCGCTTCCATATTGGTGGCAGGTAATTCAAATGTACACTCACATGTATTAAGCGTGTGGATTTTATCCAAGTATATGCATTATACTGCAATTAGATTTGGTGATATGTATACGACAATTCAGCCTACGATAGTATACATAGTTGTCTACTGTGCTTAAAGGGTGCTATTGTATCATACGTTTATAAAGGCCTCTGTATATACTCGCCTCAAGTGTCCATGCGTACATGTGGTTATATGTGTGTATTTGTGATGGCACAGAATATCCATATTCCATACATACTACATACATAGGACTACTATTTACTTTTATTATTTGAGTACATATTGTGATAAGTGATAACTGGACTGGGGTATATGAGAGAGACCGGACATGACAGGACATTTTATTCGTTTTTTTACAAAAAATAATTAAGTCTATAAAGGCTGTTGTTTTTTAATAAATATTTTTTTATTTTTTTATTTACATATTTTTCGAGCTGTCATAATTTTTATAATAAAAATATACTAAGTGCCAATTTCCAGTATGTAAATAGTTTTTGGACGGAATTTGGGCGCGATGAGTCGTACGTACAAACTACCGAACATATAAGTCAAAAGTTATAAATAAAAGCCGATAAAACTCTTGTGATGACATTTATCTGGTATTCATTCATATGGTGTATTCTTGTGATTATTAATGTGTACGTATTTACATATTATACATTCATACGTAGACTTTATATCTTGTTATATCTGCCGTATCTTTGTTACTAAAATTTGATGCTCAACGAGACAACTCGACAAGCGTATTTCTAACGATAGTTCTACAACTATACTAACTGTTTTGCGTAGACATATTACATGCAAGCATAAGATACCTAAGCCATCACATACATTTTGATTCCCGCTTCTAGTTTACGCAGGCGATGTCGAGGTAGTGCGAGATTCCATCCAATACACCAAACATTTATACCGCTTTTCAGGAAATGGTCCAAATATTCTAGTAACTATATCGTAATATCGCCCTTTTGCAGTCGTTCATGTACGTACAAGTCGGTAACGATTTCGGATCAATATATTGCTTAACTAGTGAAGCTGAGAATACCATTGTGTTCTGCCTTTTAATGAACCGGACAATTATACTGACTATCTTGTCGCATCCACACAACCAACTGTTCGTCAGTCTTCTGTATATTTTTTAGCCCCTTGTTCTGTTGTTGCTATTATGTCCAATATATAGTGACCATAAAAAAAACATTCTTTGGATATAGATGGTTTTATTGGTAAAAATTACATAATTTTCTTAATAGACGAGTCACAATGGTTAGATAGCAATCAGTACTGTGTGTGAGACATATAGAACACAAACATGGCACAAACATGCTGTTGTATTATGTATAGTTTCATGCTTTGTTGTAATACTTTGTTGGATGTGTGAGATGTTAGAGTGTAAACGCCAGTCCGTTGTATTTTTCTGCAACAAGACGGAATTGGTGTTACCTGTACAGCTCTGGGTGGGCTGAAAAGACCCACTTCTCTAGCCGTTGAAATATAAACAAAGCTTGATCAAAAGTATAAGTATCGTTCAAATTGTCCAAACCGATTTGAAAACATATACGCACGAACATATGTAAGTCATCCGTATGCCAGTATGTCACAATGCAACGTTCGCCTTAAAGGGGATGTATAATTGGATTGCAGTGCAGTGATTTACAGAAGTCGTATGTGTTTGTTTATGATAGGTGTAATATAGAAGTAATACTCAAATAAAAGAAACTGATGTTATTGGATGGGGCGAAGAAAAATGGCAATTGTCTTGTTGAACTGCATGCGGTAAAGGTACGACATTTACGGCTAAGAAATAAGAAGCAACCGCGTATGATACTATTCCAGAGTTTGGGAAACTGTTTTGCTAAGAATAGATGCAAGTCAAGTCTGTGTAGGGGGTGTGTTCACACGAGTTGTCACATTGTATACGTGCACGCATGCATATACTGGGGTAAAGATAGCTGTCGAGGAACGTGTATGCCCCTAAACCATATTATGTCACTAGTTGAATGTAAATTTAGCTTTGAGTGATTATAATATGCATACGCGCATGATAGATGGTTGCTATGGAAGAAGAAATAAATATGGTGATACTACCAAGGTGAAGCAGTTCACACCTAAATAAATCAACCTAATCACGAAGATTAGAAGAAGTAAATAACCCTATAATTAAAATCCAATATCAAAAGATTAGTTTAAAGACGGATGATAAGTTATAAAGACTTCATAGTCGAGAACTGGGTGCCAGTGCGACCGGATATCGAAATAAAAGAAAATGTAAACAGATTGCTATGGCTAATAGTACAATCCTCTCATAAATACTAAAGAAGAATGCCAAGGCTTCAATCTTTACACAGAAAAATAATACACCTATTTACAATGTTTACTATCAGTAAAATAATCACGATAGAATTTAAAGCGTAACAAAATGCAAGAAAGATTACGGTGTGCTGATCAACTCTTACAGAAGCGAGCAGGCAGGATGGAATGAGAACGGTTGCGTGAACCTGATAGGATTCGGAATATGGATTGTCTGTTGAGATGGGCAAGGATTGTAGTCGCTTCAACTCTTTCTCCCTCTTCACTTTTCATAGCAATTGTTTAGTTTAAAATGGCAAACAGTAGCGATGCAGATGACGTACAATTGATGCAACAAGTTTGGACGTGAATAGAAGAATAAAATTCGGCAAGAATGACTACAAAGCCGAGATGTACACATTCATGCACTTTCTTGATCCTGATTTCGTCTGGTCAGAGAGAGCTAATTGCAATTGCTGCCCTGCTGATGAAGCTTTAGCAGTAATCACAGCCAATGATGTTGTGCCTACGCAATTTCCAACTATTAGCATATACTACTACTACCCATGGGCTAGATGATAATGTGTAGTATGCTCGCTCTCATACTATAGCATTTAATAAAAAAAGCTACTTGCCACAAAGCGTTCAAATTGGGATGCTTTGACATCGCCGGAAATGCATGGTAGTCCTACAAGGTCAAGACGAGTCTATATATGTATATATATATATTATATATATATATATATATATATATAGATATATATGTATGTATGTATGTATATGTATATGTATAT